GAGTACCTGTTTTTCCTGGCCAAGGACAGGTTCCTTGAACACAACACGTGCGTAACGTGTCTTCACGTGGTATATGTCTCGTCTGAAAGGAGTGCTGACCATAGACGGTGCTGACAGAGAGCACCGGAACGCCGCTCCAGCCCTTAAAATATTTCAATACCCATAAGGAGCCGTACACATGCCGCAGTGTTTGCGTGGCTGTGTCTTTAGTTGTAAGCACAGTGGCGATCTGTTGTTATTAGCATCTGGTTAGTTAGCTATGCTAACGAATTTAAAGCGCTTTTCTACAACCAGGTGGAAGAGAGCTCTCTCCTGAGAGGCTCAAATAACCTCAGCTCAGTGAGGTTAAGGCACACCTTGATATGATCATTATAGTTATTAATGAGACTAAATGAAAAACAGGTATAAAATACTATATGACAGAAACAAAAAGTTGTTAAAAATAACAAGAATAGAGTTTAAAAGGGGAGTGATTTGTAAAAATATCCAAAAAGAAAAATATGCTTACAGTTCTGTTTCATATGGGTGTTGAAAGATGTTTCCATAGATCTCTTAATGTTGCTCTCAAAGTGCACCAGATTGATGCTTTTAACTTCAATATTTAAAAACAAATCTTCCCGGGGGAGCATGCCCCCGGACCCCCCTAGAGGAGGTTAGCCCCCCCCCCCCCCCACACTTAAATCATGTTCACATGGATAGGAAACTAAATACATTTGCACACATCTTGTGTCCATATCTTTCTGTTTTGGTGGTCATGCCACACCGTGCACGTGCATGCATGCGTGAGTCATGGTGAGATATCTGGATTCAGAGGTTGCTTTTTCTTTGCACAGCATGAAAGAAAGGCCAAATGAATGGGCTGTGATTTTAGTTTTTTTTAAGCAGAGGTTGAGTTCAATCATTTGTACGACCCTCGGAGGATGTTGTAAAAATTGAAAGGAAAAAGGTTCCCCACCCCTGCTGTAAATAATAATAAAACCCCTTGATTTTTAACTTAACATCTCTGTCTCCTATTGATCTGAGTATATTAAAGAATAGCCAGTTAATTGAAGCATTATAGCACAGGCCTTTGTCAGATGGTATATTACGCTGTTTTTTTCCTGCTTCGAATAGTTCTCTCTTTTTTCACCATACCTGTGTTTGCATCACTGAAACCAATGAACACCTGCATGTGTATGAGAATGGCCCTGACACCATTTCAGCCCAGATTTACAAACTCCTGGCAGGACAAGCTTGAGCTCAATTCTCACACTAAATTTAAAAAAAGTGAGTGAGGGACTGCAATATAAGAGGGAAAGAAAGAGAAACTTTAAAACTGTTTAATTGTTATGATGTGTAAAGACTGATATTGTTCTATAATCGGCTGAAACTGTTAAGTCATGATGTGAAACGGTTAACAAAGAAAAAGGGAAACTCAAGCTGCTGCTACACTTTATTTTATTTATCTAAAATTAAGCACTTTTAAGATGCACATATTTTCAAAAGCTATTTTATTTATTTTCTCTATTTTATTTGTAAATGCAGCCCGAGAGGAACATTACACATATCCACAGTATTTACTGTATATCTGTATAGTTCAATGTTAATTGACAATAAATATTGTTGTTTTTGAATTGTACTTTCTTTATTTGATTGGCAGTCAGTTGTTGATTACATGCAGACGTTGATAAAGCTACAGCTACTTCAATATATCACATTAATTCATAAAGCAAGTTAGACATTTTGATGTTCCGGACCTTTGCATGAGGAGATTTTCTCTAACTGGACCTAGTTGAATTTTAGTTGAAGACCCCTGATCTACAACAATGGGATTGCATGTCCAGTGTCCACTGCAAATGCGTTTGAGAAGACAGCAGCTCTCTAACGATGGAAGGTAACACACAGAAGCTAAATCTGAAGAGGGAAGTGGCGGGAGATTCATGTGATTGGTTGTTGGTCGCGTTGCTCGCAAAAAATCCCCAAGCTTTCAGACACGCCCAGCTCCAAGATTTTCAAGATTTTTGAAAAGCTGCTGTGTGGACGTACCGTAACCATCATGCAACGCACTAGCAAGACGTTGATCGCAACTGCGCAGGTCTGCGCAGGTCTCGCTTGTCTCAAACAAGCCTATTACCAGTATAAATACATTGCTTTTAAAATCGTGCTGTACAACACGAAAAAAGGGAAAAATCGTGTTGGTGAACACGAATCAATAGATGAAAAATCGTGTTGGTGAACAGTACACGAAATGCCATGAGACTGGGTTGCTACAGCGGCTACACCTAGGGTGACCAGGTCCCAACAAACCAAATGTGGGACAAGGAGTATGTTTGTGTGGGACAATGTGGGACACCCTCTCAACAGCACCACCCCCCGGGAAAAAAATCTCTATTTATATTCTGTTTAATTTGGTTCATTCAACAGCATCCAATAAACAATGACAGAAAGTGAAGTCAAAATGCAGTAACAATTTAGTATCTTAAAGAAAAGTAAACTAAGGCTATAAGGCAGCAGGCATTATTCACTTCAAGTGTTTAGAAATGCATCTTCCTAATTCAACTAGTGTATTACCTGTAAAAGTAGGCACAACTTAAATTAATAGATACAATAAAACCATAAGTACAAATCATAACTGGCCAGGAGGGAACAAAAACATAATAATACATAACATAAAATAGCTTTCAGTTTTGTCCATCACAGCAACAACAGGTGCCCCCCCCCCCCTCTCCACAGAGGCAGGGGCAAGCACATCTGTTATTATGGACGCTGCTTTTGTACGACCACATGACATTTTCTTTACTAGGCTATATCAGAGTCTGGAAAAATGGTCGGCGCTAGCTTGTTACCACAGTCACTATGGTAACACTGGTTATTTCTGCTGCTGTTACCTTGTCTGAGTGGCCATCATTTTTTGGTTTGAGTAGGAATGTCTCCAGAGAGTGGGATGTCTCTTTTTGAGCGACACGTTTCTTGTGAGAATCGCATTCTCGGTGTCTTTTGACGTCGTATTCACCGCCATGTGAAATTGAAAAATTATTCTTGCAAAGATTGCAAAAAACTCCCTCTGAGAGTCGCCCTGCACTGGCTTCACCCACGGGTAAGTGTCTTCCCAGTCTTTGTTGTATGTGCGTCTTATTTTCTTCTTAGCTGTAGTTTCAGTTTCCTCCATTTTCCATAACCTGCTGCGTCGCCTGCGTTATTGACTGACATTCGTTGTTGTTGTTTGGCGGGGCCGCGGAGGTGTGTGAGTGAGTTACTCATTGGTTAACACTTGACCAGCGTTACAGTTTGATTGACAGCAAACACACCCCCGTGATGATATCCTTCCCTGCTTTCTCAACTGGCATTGGATAAATCTGATTTTAAAGAAAAGCGTTTTAGCCTATCAAAATGAAATATGCGGGACATGGTCTCAATTTTCGGGACGCACCAAAAGGCCTGAAAATGCTGTACAGTCCCGCGCAAAGCGTGACATCTGGTCACCCTAGTAGGCTACACCCCCTCCAATAGTGGTGGTAAGTAAAGGTTTAACAACTTCAGTCGAGTTAATATAAAATCTAAGGAACACTTTGAGCCCTTTTTATTATCTTTAGATTACATTCTTCAGGTGTATATGAGCAGTTGTCTGCCCGTTACATCTGCAGTGTTTTCCCAATCATCGCTCCGATATGACCATGACGGACAAAGGACCTAAAGCCCTGAAAATGAGGCGGGAAATTGGGCTGATTGGTGGTGTAGCACTAGTATCAGGAACCATGATCGGATCCGGTATATTCATGTCCCCTCAGTTTGTAATGGGCTACGTTGGAAGCCCTGGAGCAAGTTTGGTGATCTGGGCTTTCTCTGGAGTTGTAGCTATGTTTGCAGCACTGTCCTATGCAGAGCTTGGGACGATCATCCAGGAATCTGGTGGAGAATTCATCTACATACTGAGGATCTATGGTTCATGCCCTGCTTTTTTTGCAGCAATCACTTTTGTTGTGGTTGTGAAGCCGTTTGGAATTGCAGCAATGGCGATTAGCATAGCAGAATATGCTCTAACACCCTTTTACAACGGCTGCCAACCTCCTGATCTGGTAGTGAAGTGTGTTGCAGCTGTGGCTATACTGGTCGTCGCCATAGTAAACATCTTGAATTCCCGCATTGCCGTCAGAATCCAAGTGGTGTTCTTGGTGGCCAAAGTGCTGGTGTTGACATTTATTGTTATCGGAGGAATAGTGAAGCTCGTACAGAGCGGCAGTGTCATTGTGGAACATTTGAAAGTTGAGAATGCATTTAAAGGCACTCAGTACTCTTTGAGCACTCTGGGAATGAGTGTTTATCAAGGACTCTGGTCTTACGCTGGGTGGTACAACTTGAACTATGTCACGGAGGAGCTAAAAAGACCTGAGGTGAGACTAAAGAATTGGATTGTTGCATGAAGACACTGTGAGGACATGTTTGTTTGCTGCAATTGTAGTTTTATCTAACTGTGACAAAGGTGTGTGTCTGTTAGTGTTATTATCATGTGAGTGTGTGCAGTGATTGTAAAATGTGAAAATAGATTATCTAGGTTTTTTTAAAGATTGAATTTCCTAATTGGTATTTTTATATCAAAAACAATGATTGTAGAATATTATAATGCTTGACAAAAGTTGAAGCAATCATTTCTTAGAAGAGATTCAATTATTAACATCTTGCCTAAAAGAATAAGCTTCAGTTTACAGTGAACCTTGTTGGAATTTGGGCATTAAAAAAGACGTGTCATTGGATGGTCGAATCCTATCGTTTTCCTTTTATTGACAATTGTAATTGGGAGGAAACCTAACATTTGACGAGTGTACATAGTTTTACTGAGAAACTTCATAACCTTATCACTTTGTTAATGGGACAGGATTGGTGCCAACATTTTTAAACGTGCTTTGTCAAAGCAGAAAAATACTTCAGTTAATTTTAGGTCAATCGATTATTCAAGTGTCAAAATTACAACTAAACATCATGCTATCTTAAACATAAAAATGATGTTGCCTTTTTTCTTCCAGGTGAATCTCCCCAGGGCGGTTGTGATAGCCATTTCTCTGGTGACTGGCTTATACCTGCTGGTGAATGTGAGCTACCTGACGGTTATGACGCCAAAAGAGCTCATGTCCTCAAGCGCTGTAGCAGTAACCTGGGGGTAAGACAGCATCTGATATTGTTTTAATAGATTCAGGTAGACAGATCCAGCCTGATAACTTGACATGCTATTTTGACTGTTAAAATTGCTCATTTCAAAGGAGCATGGAAAGAGTGCACTCCTGTGACATCACACAGTGATTTTTCAAAGAATACATATGATGCTAATTCGGAGTTTCATATTTGTATATTTGGTTTTTTCTATAACTTGGGTACATGTTTAATGTTAAAAAAACACATACTTTTTGTCATAGTGTCTGTCTGAATATACATCTATGTACCCTATGTCTGAAACTTTTGAGTATTTATATAGCATTTCAACGTTGCACATACATTACCCAAAATGCAATATGAGCACAGGAAGTTGGTTCTGATGGTGTGGTGCAGTGTTACGTGTTTGTGGCTAAAGCTAAAGCTAAAAATAAGGTCTGTGTTTAACACAAGTTTTGTTCTAAAACATAAAATACGTCGTAGAGATTACCTTGCCAAACAAAACGTTTTCCATATAGTCTTCAGTCCAAACATTTTCAGGACAAATCTGAATAAAATTCCCATGTTTACACTTTCTATGTACTGCAGCATGTGGCTTTAGAAAATTGGAAAGGTTCCTGTTGCAAGTTTTGTGAGAACTTTTGCCTTTTTCCACAGGAACAAAGTGTTAGGAAGCTGGGGCTGGACCATGTCTGTGGCCGCAGCGTTGTCTGCTTTCGGCTCACTGAACGGAACATTCTTCAGTGGGGGCCGTGTGTGCTTTGTTGCTGCCAGGGAAGGTCACCTGGTGAGCATCTCCACTTTATGATTAAAATAATAGTTAGATTGTTCAGGAGCATAAGCGTGACGATCTTCATGCACTGACTTGTGTTTACTCTCTAGCCAGATATCCTAGCCATGGCTCACGTCCGCAGACTGACTCCATCTCCAGCACTGATCTTTACCACCGTGGTCTCTCTTCTGGTGCTGATCCCCGGAGACTTCCAGAGCATTGTCAACTTCTTCAGGTGAAAGCTGGGTCTGATTTGATTGTGTTTTAGGTTTGTTTTGAGTTGATTGGTTTTCAGTTTAACAAATACATGTTTAATAGTAGATTAAAAACCCTAATCCTCACAAAAAAACACAAACTAAAGAGGGGTTTCAAGTATCTTAAGTATTCAATATGAAATAATTAATAGATGTATCCAGTGTGTCCTAAAAATAAAAACCATGACTGTATGGTCAGCACATGACATACGAGGACGTTTAAAGATTAGATTCCCATAGTCCAGGAATGGACGCTTAATTTTTTCTAGTTTCATTCATGAATGATCCCTTAACCATCAAATTCATTTTGGAGGTTGTGGGTATTGCCAGTTATGGATAACTAGCCTGCAGGATAATAACAGTATAAAGGCTGTGTGAAGAATTACGCTATCCTGACAAAAGCCCCAAAATGTCCAAAAACATGAGATAGAGTTATAGAAAATAGATGTCTCGTATTTTATCATTTTCTACCTTTGCATGTATTTAATGTTGACATTTCTTCCTTATTACATGTTAGTTTCACTGCCTGGTTTTTCTATGGCATCACCCTCTCTGGACTTGTCTATCTCAAGATTAAGAAGCCGGAGCTCCCCAGGCCATACAAGGTCCGTATCACACACATTCAATCTTAAAGAGGCCCTATTATGCTTTTTGGGGTTTGCCAGTATAGGTTTTAGTGCATGTAAAAGGTCTGCAAAGGCTTAATCCCAAAGATCCCCCCCCCCCCCCCCCCCCCCCCCCCCCCCCCCCCCCCCCCCCCATAGTGACATCACTATTTTTTAACACTCCTGCTGCAATTGGCTAGCTCTCTAACACATTGTACATGATAAGTGTAAAACACATTGTACATGATAAGTGTAAGGGGTGGGCCGTTTCCGACACATCTTGCGGTTGACCAATAACCAATAACAACTGAGCCGGCCAGCTAACCGATCAGAGCAGACTGGGCTCTGGTTTCAGACAGAGGGTGAAAAGAGGTGCTGCAGCACAGGCATTATGAGAAAAATAAAGAGCTTTCTGAACATTAAAACATGCAGACATGTCAGAGTAGAGACACAAAATACAAATATATGAACCTGAACATTTACATAATAGGGCCCCTTTAAACATCATCGACATTAACATTTGTCTTAACACATATGAGAATCACCTTCTGTCTGTCTCTCTTTTTCCACAGGTTCCCATTATACTCCCAATCCTGGTCATCATTGTGGCAATATTCCTTGTTCTTGCACCCATCCTAGACAACCCTCAGATAGAATACCTCTATGTGTCTTTATTTATCCTCAGTGGAGCTATAGTGTACGTTCCCTTCATCCATTTCAAGCTCTGCCCAGGGTTGCTGACCAAGCTAACTGTGTTCCTGCAGCTCCTCTTAGAGGTGGCCCCGACAGAGAAAAACCTGTGATATTGGTGGAAGAATCCAGAAGAAAAGGCTGTTGTTCCAGTTTTGTTGCTTGTGCTTTTCAACTACACCTGTTTTTTGCAATGACACTCATGAGATGTTGCGGTTCACATTTGGTAGCATTGATGAGTTGTTTGTCTTTGACTTTTAACACTCTGATATGTGTTGTCTTTTTGCACAGGTGCATTTAGCTGATGCGAGCAGAAAAACTAGTACATCTGTATTCAAAATGTCAATCTATTAGAAGAAGGGTACAATATGACATACCTAAACACCTGAGAATTCCTGTGCTTATTTTTGTTGCAAGATTTGTTTAGAAACATTTTGATCTTGAAACTTTTGCAAATTAACATTTATAACAAGCTCAAATGAAAATAAACACAGGAATTCCCTGGTGTTTAGGTTATATATATATATATATATATTTTTTTAGAAGGAAATGCAGCAAATCTACACATAAGAAGCTGAAACTGTGAAATGTTTTTAATCAAAACATTTGCAAAATTAGCAAATAATGTTTTGTTTTCACTCATTGTTTTAGTTAAGTGTAGGTTAATCCACATCAACACTGTTTTTTATTGTGGTTATGTGTTGTGTATATGAACATTTGAATCTATAAAGTGTCTGTCAAATAAAGCTTCTTAGTAAAAGTACAATATTTCCCTTTGAATTGTAGCGGAGTAGAAGTATAAAGAAGCATAGAAAGAAAATACTCAAGTTTAAGTACCTGAAATGTGTACTTAAGTAGTACTTGACTAAATGTCCTGAGTGACTTTCCACCACTGTAATTATGTTAGCACAACGCATAAACCAAAGAATAAGCTATATATTAACCAGCTGAACATTTAGCTTACTAAGAGTCTCCATCTCCATTGAGCTGACCTTCCTTAATCTAATTTGATGTTTTGAATCTTAAATACAAAATGAGCACCGATACAGATTTGAATTTACAAAAAAAATGTTTATTAAATAATTGTTATCCATCAAACGGATAAAAACAAGACATGGCCAATCAATAGTGCAACTTTCACAAGACAGAAGATTGTTTAACACAAACAGGAAAGAGCAGTGTGTGTGTGTGTGTGTGTGTGTGTGTGTATACGGGCATGCATACACACCAAATGTATCTATGACAACACATATATAAAGTGAATCTAGTCTGTCTGGTTACGTATCTTGTTTGTTTTACTTTAACATTCTGTAGTGGCTGTGGCTCATGGTGTAGGGGGGTCGATCCCCCACTACTGAAGCCTACGAGTCAAGATGTTTCTTTATGTGTTGTATTAACCTTGGCAGCTGTTTGAGATTGAGTTTAAAATTGAAGGAATAGTTGAGCTCATGAATTATAAAAGCGTTTTTTAGTTTAGATTTTAAGTCATCGTAGTTAGCCTTCATAGTTTTAGTCGATGTGAAGTCTTAACATTTAGTCAACTTTTATTCTATTTCCATCAAATCTAGTCCAGCCGAAACCAGAAGATAGCATCTTATAATTTTTTGATAATAAAAACGCAGCTCGGCCCCCATTCATACTGACTGTGTTTATTGGTGATGCGCCCGTAATGAGAGCCAATCTGCTACGCCTGACATGGAGAAAAAAAAATCATAATATAAAATAATAACCCAAACCCAATTCAACGTGTACATTGACTTTATGCCTTATAGTAGCACTGACAACTGTCTGATGGAGAATAATTGAGCAGTAGGGCATGTGGTATGTGTGTTTTTCAGAGAGACAGAGATGGGAACAGAAGTAGAATTTATAATAAAATGATTTTAGTGAAGTTTATATTTTTTAACTACATTTTTGTTTTCATGAATATTGCATGTTGATATTGTCACAGTTGGTCTTCAATGGCGTCTCATCATTGTCTCCCTTCAGTCATGAAAAAAAACAAACATTTTGTCATAGTTTTGAAATCATCACGTGTGTGGGTGTGTGTCACTCAGTAAGAATCACTCCGCTCTGGCTTTCTTCACTGTGCCGTTAGAAGCTTTTGATTGGCTTTCAGCTCCACAGCTCGGCTCCCCTGTCCCGCCCCCCTGTGATGTTTGCTGGTACAGCATGTGGAGCCGCTCTGCGTTCATGTCTGCATCCTCCGCCCCCTCGCAGCACTTTATCCACGACTGAGGGATAGCTTCGATGCCGTAGTGGGCCCCGGCGATGGCCCCTGCCATGCAGGCTATGGTGTCTGTGTCCCCTCCCAGGGCCAGGCTGTACGCTATTGTCCTCTCCAGGCCGCCGTAGTTCTCTGGGAGGCATTCTCTGGGCTGCAGGCAGTGCAGGACGCAGAAGATGGCAGTGGGGACTGAGTGGAGCGCCGCGATGCCGTTACCTGGAAGAAAAGACAGGACACGTTGAGTGATAAGAAGTAAGGATAATACACAGGAGATGGGCTGCTCTAAAAGCAAACATGTAAAATAAATGTGTTTGGGATCAGGAGGGATTCACCACTTAGTGAAACAATCCATTTGCTCTGTCATGATAAATCCTTAAAAAAGTCAAAAAATGATATTCTACTATATGTGTTGTCATAACCAATCACAGTCGTGAAAACATTATTATTACATTAAGTGATTTTAAGTGACTAAGAACTATTTGAAGAACGTCAGGAAACTATAACAGGCTTTTTCCAATATTTTCAGACAAGTGATTCATTGAGAATTTACCTGGGAGATTGTTTAATGATACAAAAGTAATTTGTTGGATAACAAAACAAAATGCTGTGCGTGTACAATAAAAAATGTTGGAAACAGTCAATAGGCGCTTTCACACCGGAGTACTTTTCCCGTTTAGTTCCGATAGTTCCTGGGATTTTGCGTTCACACCAAAAAGAAAACTTAGTTCATGAGAACTTTTACCCCCTTTTTAGTGCCTGCTAGAGGTGGTACTTTCCTGGGGAGAAAAAAGAAAATTGCAAACCACGGCCCGTAAAACTCTGAAAAGTTTTGTGAAGCCGCCATTGTATTTGCTGGCATTAGCATTAATCCCGCGCACCAACGGAGAGAGACTAACTTATTTCAACACAAAAAAAAACATGGGAGCGGTGGAGATGAGGAGGTGTCGGCGTTCTGGCGATTTACTCGGAAGGCTTCAGTAGAAGCTGCTGGGAGTCCCAGCAGCTTCTACTGAAGCCAGTCCCCAACTCCGGGGACTTCCGGCCGGGGACTTCGGGAGGCAGTATACGCCGTGAAGTTGTTTGCTGCCTGCCAGTAAACCCAAAGCAAAGAAGACGAAGTGACGTCAGCGGGCTTCATTTGCGTAATCTTCCCTCAGGGAACTTATTCCGGTGTGAACGCGATCGGCTCTTAGTTCCATGGGAGTACTAAGTGCTGGGAACTAAGTACGGCAAAGTACTTGGTGTGAAAGCGGCTAATGGCAGGACCGGAAAAGGACGAATGGATGACTAAAACCATGTTAAAACCTCGATGAAAGTCGGGATTAAGTGAAAATCAGCAGATACTGACCCAGTTCAGAGATGACCTCCTCGATGCTGACCTTGCTGCGGTGCATCAGGTCGCTCACTCTGTGGAGGCGCTCGCAGAACGGCTTCTCTGCTTCCTTTAGGCTGCACAGAAACACCATGTTAGACAATCACTAAAAGAAAAACCCCTGCAGTACTTCCTGGAAACCATTAGACATTCTCTTATGGTTTATATTAATGTAGTTCTCACATTCTGGCGTCATTGAGCGTGGCCTCGTCGCTCTCCACGTCCTCCATCTGTGTGATCAGCGTGCTGATGAACTTGAGGGGCAGGTCCAGCGCCCCCTGCAGGGAGAGGTGCACGGCCAACGCCTGCAGCACCGCCCCGTTATAGCCAAGAGAGCAGGAGTGGGTCAGCATGGCCCCGCGATGAGCAAACTGCAGAGGGAAAAAAATTAAGAAATCACACGAACTCTGTAACAACAAGTCAGGGGGCTAGCAATGCAACTGTGTTCAAAACATATTCAACTGAGAAAAGAGTCAAAACTAATCAAAACAACTAAAAGGCTAAACTTAAATAAAATGATAAGAAAATTTGGATCATCTTTCTTCTGTTATGCGGTTTAAGAATATAACGGTTAAGAAAATCCCGCCCGTCTGCATCTTCCACACAGGTTGCCCATAGAAGTGTCTTTTAATAGGATGGCAGTGGGATTTGTAGTCCTTTTTTTATTCCATTGACTACAGATGTTGCCACTAGCTGACAATATTATTTGACCTTTTCACAAACTAAAACTGCATTATTTTCGATGAGTTAACCAATAAATATTATAGCTGCGGACTCCGAGAACATAATTCATCATCATCTGTGGATAAACACAAGAAATTATCTTATGAGCCTTTTCTGTGTTCTTTTACCATCACGGTAACACAGTTATAGTTGGACAGTGTCAGTGGGTTACTATTGTAACGTAGACTGTTCAGAGTAACATCTTTTAACAATAAATGTCTTCCATTTTAGTTGAGTAAATAATAAACACACCTTGTGCATATAAAGATAGAAGTTGTTTGTGTACATTTTCTTGTGACTTTTACACTATCA